TCATTGATACTTCAGCCGTACGACTGACCACTTTTGAAGGCGGGCCTGCCTTTAACATGAACGCAGATTGTGTGCGGGTTTTTTTCGTATAAGAACATACGGAAGAACTGGAAGTGACGATATTGAAAATCTCCATCAGCGTGAATAAATGCCTTTTCCCGATTGATGGAAAGATGTGTCGAGAATCGGGAGATTTAATGCTGGTGACGAAAATAGGTGTCGATTAATTGACCACTATGCTGTCAGTTATTTTTTTGAAACAGAAACCTCCCACCTCCATCAGTCTCCTAATAAGAAGATGTATTTTTTTGCCTCACCGTGTGTATGAGAAGGTGAAGGGGGTGGGGGGGAGTGGCATTGAAGAAGTTTCTCAAAAGTTCTTAATTACTATTCGTACAACTCTATAAGATACTTCAAAAGGCTGATATGAGGCTGTGCTTTGATGCTTTCAGATCGACAACAACACGGTTCGGTGTCCCAGAACTGGAAACAAAGTTCCTCTGGATCATGTTCTTAAGCTATATGTTTTGTAAACCTATCGTTTTTGATACTCTACGTAAGACGCTAGAGCGGTTTTTTGGGTATTTTTCGGAGCTGTAACCATCTTTCAAGCTATCTGTTTCATGTACAGTACGACAAGCTCATGAACAGTATAACGTCTGTCTCGTCTAGTACCACTGACTCTATTCATCTCTGTGCTTGCCCTCGAACTTTAAGAATGAGATGTATCAATGGAGTGCGTGTGACCGGACAGTCCAACTACATACTAAGCGAGGGCTTTGCCCGGAAATCCGGCGAGCGGATTCAACTGCCAAGCTGATGCTTCCTTCTTTGTATGTTTTTGACTGAATGTGGGTGCATCGTATGTTGACATCACTTTCTTTTCCTAGATTTTCTTTATGTAAATTTGAATTTATTATAAAGATTAACTTCGAGGAAATCTTTGGAGTTGTTGATAAAGGTGTGTCCTTCACATTTTTCTGAATAGATGGCTTTCCTGTCACTGCTATATTTTCGATGTTTTGTCGACTTGCGGCTCATTGAGGGGTGTCTGTCTCACTTCACTAGACGAGGTCCTACACATCTTGCTCACATGATGACAGTGTGCTTTGGAACCGAAATAGAGATTTGAAAATGAGCAACCTAAGGCTGAGGACAAGCTCCGCCCATTGTGGGCTAGTCCCAAAATACCTTAAACTGTCGAACTTTTGCCAGATATTGCTCTTCACCATCAACTATTGTGGGCTAGTCCCAAAATACCGTAAACTCTCGAACTTTTGCCAGATATTGCTCTTCACCATCAACTTTTATGCTATTCCTAAACTCAAGTGGAGAGCGACTTACTGTATTCTGTGAAAAGCACCGCCCACCCCAAGTACGCCCCTCGTACTTTAGGTGTGTCTACCCTAGTTAGCTTGACAACGCCTTGCTAACTGCTCTGCAAGCGAATATAAATTTTTGTCTGTGGCACCGCCAACTTTCGACGCATGTCCCGCCTGCTGTGGGAAGGGCTTCGCATAGGTCATGGATAGCTCCACATCTTGTCCCATGCACTACCCATCCAGGCCTTGACTCGATTTCTCCAAGTTGTTCTCCAGGGCTAATCGACTTTCCTTCCGGACAGACAATAACAAACAGACAGACGAAGGCAATTATATATTAGGTTGATCAGAAAGTTGGTAGGAATTGAAAGAAAGGAAGTTTGTTAGGGTTGAGTTTTTTTTCTGTTTTATTTTGCAACTCAGCAAATAATGCAAGCGAATCAACAATATAATAACTATCGTTAGTCATAACATTGTCCCACCTAACGAGCAGGTCAGCGATTCCCTTCTCCCGGAACTGGGAAGATTGGGAGTCAAATAAGTCACCGACCACTTGTTCAAGATGGTTGTAGTTGACGAATGGTTTTTTTTTGCTAGGAAAGCCTTGAGGGGCCGGAACAAGTGGTAATCTAAAGGGGCAATATCAAGTGAATAGGGCGGATGTGGAACCGTTCCCTGCCTAGCTCCTCTATTTTTGCACGGGTTTCTTTACCTATGTGAGGCCTAGCGTTGTCATGGAGAAGGTGCACAAAGTTCGTCTAGGCTGTTTTCCTCGAACGGGTTTCTGCAGTTGACCAGCGTAATAGGAAGCGGTGACGGTGTGGCCTTGCTTGAGCAGTTCGTAGTACAGCATTCCTTTTGAATCCCAGAAGCAGCAGAGGAGAAACTTCTTGGGGTGGAGGTCGGATTTGGCTTTTGTCCCGCGAGGCGGCTCTTCTCCTCGCGGGACCCAGACGGCACGGTGCTTGTTAGCGTCGTAGAAGATCCGGCTTTCATCTCCATTAATTAGGTCCTCAAACTCCTTGCGATGTGGGTGGAGAAGGAGAGACTGACAAATGGATACCGGGTGTATCGCATGCTATCAGTCAAGACAGGTATGCGTAGAGTCAGCACTTTCTGTAACCGAGGGCCTGAAGGCGACCGACGGCTGTTGATTGGACGCAACCAAGTCTCGTCGCAAGATTGCGGGCGTTAAATTCCGAATCATCTTTGACGGCGTCGAGAATGACGCAGTCGTCGACGGCAAGGGGGCATCTACCAAGGTTTGTCTTCGAAGTCCGTGTCTCCTTCCTTGAAGCGAGCGAACCAGTGATGGATCGTAGCGATGGAAGTGGTGTCCTCACCTCATATGCCGTTGATGTTGCGAACGGTTGCCGTCGCTCCGGTGCCGCGGCGCCACTCGTAGAAGATGATGTATCGAACATGGTCTCGTGAACTCGTGATTCAAACTAAAGGAGGAAGCGAACCTATATACAGTGCGTAACAAAAGTACGTGGACACCTCAAATTTTTGTCCTGCAAAATTGCCTTTGAATTTTGCGATATGAGACCTTTATTGTTGAATTCCTCATAAGCGGAAACATAGGAATACACTACTTCTAAACGCTTTGTGGACTAGTGAACAATTATTTATTGTTTTGAAAAAGTTTCCTTATAACAAAAGTATGTGGACACTTAACAAAAAACAAATGTATCGCGGAAAATAGAAGTTGGTTCTTCCTTCAGTGTTCACTATTACTTCGAACATTCTGTCTGGCTGCTGTGGACAAGATTTGTCATGGTGTCTTCGTCGAATTCCTCCCATGCATTAATTATTGCCTCCTTCAAATCTCGCACGCTGTTCTACTGCCCACTGTTCATGTAGATTCGTCGAACCATGCTTTCCCACTGGATTTCGGCTGGGTTGCAGTCAGGAGAACACGCCGGCCAATCAGTCACTTTGATACCATTGTATTGGAGCCATTTTCAAGTAGTATTTGAGGCACTATTGAACTATTTATACCCCAGAAACTGGAGAATTTTTTTTGCTGAAACATTGCCTATAGATGTAATTTGATGCGCTGATTACGAATATGACATCCGTTTTGAGCGCTATCGTCATCTGGCGCCATTATGCGCCAATTTGGCGCCCACCACTTTTTCCACTCAAGTTGATGAAAACTTGCATGTGGGGGTTAATTGAGGTCCTGATTACGAATCCAACATTTATTTTTGGCGCTGGCTCCATTTGGCGCCATATTGGCGCATAATGGCGCCAAATGACGCCAGCGCTCGAAACGGATGTTATATTCGTGATCAGCGCATCGAATTACATCTTTGGGCTACGTTTCAGGGAAAAAAGTTTTTGAGTTTTTTTGGGGTAGGAATAGTTCAATAGTGCCGAATTTGGAACATGCATGGCCGTGTTCTCCTGCTGCATCGCATGTGTCCTGCGTCGTGGCCCGCTCAGAAAAAGCGAGAGGCTAACTCAAGCACTCCTTGGTATTCCTGACTGTTCATACAGCACGATGGGAAGGCAAGCTCTAACTTTCCTCTGCTTCCAAGACCAGCCCGTACCATCAAAGAGGCGCCCCCGGAACTTCGTCCCGAGAGCACCAAGGGATCGCGACGAAGGTCTCTCCAGTGATGCTGATATCTATCTGGACCGTCGAGATTGACTTTTTCTTATCAGTGAAGATAACCTAAGAAAGAAATGCGCATAAGATGTTGCCTTTCCGATTTTACAAATATCTCAAGAAACTGCACCTTGATCACGACGTCGCCATTTTTGCACGCGCAAAGTTTAGTCTTGCCAGCTGGTGCTTAGCAGTCAGACAGGGAGCTTTCTTCATGGTCTCTCGAGTGATGTGCTCACTTGATCGAATAGGGCGCCATATCGTCATTTTTGAGACCGGTAGATTCATGGCGGCATGGATCTGTGCCATAGAAAGCGGAGAGTTTGAGGCTATTCTTCTGATGTCTTTTGCGGACAAAGATTGTGGGTGCCTCGAAACAGGTACTGAGCGGTAGCTATCAGGATTCTGGAGGTATGTACCAACGCACGTCTCCGAAAGTCCGAGCTATCTTTTTCTCTATTCGAGTGTCCTGCAGCACTGAAAGCCGAATCCGAGCTTGTTCGTCTTCGTAGGGAGGACTACCACAACGAGTACAGGTTCATGGGAACTAGAGGCCATAAAAATGGATTGCAGATCTGGAGCCAAACTTTGGACTTCCTCAGGTATCCACATACTTTTGTTATTAGGAAACTTTTCCAAAACAATAAATAATTATACAGTACTTCACAAAGTGCTCAGAAGTAGTGTATTTCTATGTTTTCGCTTATGAGGAATTCAACAATAAAAGTCTCATGCAAAACTCAAAGGCAATTTAGCAGGACAAAAATTTGAGGTGTCCACATACTTTTGATACGCCCTATACCCATTACGGAAGGTTCTAGAATGTTCTACTACTACTAGGAAGATCATTGGTATCGACCAAGAATCGTTCTGGAACTTTCAAAAAGCCCTATTAAAACTTTTAGATCAACCTAATATATAGGTATAGTGGGTGATTACCTATTGCTTTTGTGTTGAACCACCTCTGATGAATGCAAGAGAAAAACACCGAAAAGGATACTAGTTTGCGCAACTACGATCAATAATTATAGCAAATTGATGTGGCGATATTCGTGAAGGGCAAAATGGAGGTTCATCCCGGTCTTATATTTTTTGTTCTCGTTGTCGTCGTTCCGCTACAGTATTATTTATCTCCGTCATCGAGCTCAGATATGAAATATTATGTACAGCGGTGAGTTAGATTACAAAGAATCGGTGATTCTGATATCTATTGAACATCGCCATTAGTGTATGTGCTGAAAAGTTTACCCATCATAAAATCATTGAGTCGGTATCCATTATCGACTTTCAATGACCCTTGGCATTGTGTGAGGTCTTCGTGCTTAGATGTTCTAACCACAGCCAACATACTAATAACTTTATTTGGCTAACGTTTCGGCCTGGTCGCCTTCGTCGGAACCTGGAGAGTCAAAGAAATGTGACCTACCGCCGAATGCCATTTCAGATTTAAGAGCAACTCACCATAGAATAAAAGCGTCCAGGGAAGTCTTGTAGCTCACAAGCATAAACCAACTAACCTTAGGAGGTCACGGCTAGCTTGAGTCTCGGCCGCAGCTAAAGTAGCTGGTCCAGCCCTTCGACCCGAAGCCGATGGCGTTTGAAGCCCACACAGGTCAGCTAAGGAGGTGAGCTTTAGGGAGCTTTTTGGCGCATATCCAGAAAGCCTCGTAAGTTTTGCGGGCTGAGGTGTGGGGCTCGAGATCCTCACAGACTTGGAACTGCGCACCTCCATGTCCGTTAATTCTATGACTACCCAGGGGAATCTGAGGCCTCGATTTCTTCAGACCGTCCATATGTTTCTTCACCCTGGAGCAAAGTGGTCGCCCAGATTCGCCGATTTCCGAGCCAGTATAGCGGTGATCGGAACCCACGCTAGCCGTGCTCTCCTTAGTAGGTTTTTGCTTGTGAGCTGCGGGACCTCTCTAGACGCCTGTGAGCTGCTCTTAAGTCTGAATGGCATTCGGTCACTTTATCTTCGACTTTCCAGGCTCTAGGTGACTAGGCCAAAACGTTAACCAAATGAAGTTGGTAAAATATTAAGATCAACACCTTTGTGACGCCGCATGTTTCATGGATTCGGTGAACCTGTATAAGTTATCGAGATTCCACTGTGGCCTAAGCGCCGCTAAGGATAACGAATTGTAAATCTGCACAGTCACGTTTTCTCCAGTGTGCTTCCAAAGCCGAGACTGTCTCCAGATCCATGGAGAAAAAGGAGCTGGCTAGTGCAAGATACTACCATCGTGCTGCCAGTCATTGCCCGTGACGGGTTGCCTTTCCAGATTTCTACGCTTGTGGTTGTGCCAGAGAGTCTCATAGTATCCGTAACGAGATCGATTATAATTCAACCACTCGCGAGGTGTATCAAGAGTGCAGACCCTGTGTATTGCTCTGCATGTAAATGTGATGTGGCAGTTCAGTGTTCGAGGAATTCATAAGCCACTAAGTGTAGAACCGGAATTTTTCGAAAAACTACCGTAGTTAGCTTTGTTGCAGGACCAGCTACCGTGCTCTTGTGGCACATTGCTGGCATTCCATGCTGGCCTGAATTTACAGGCGCTTTCTATTCGAATAAGAGAGAACGGAAGGTAGACATTTGTCAAAAAGAGGATCATGCTATGGATCAAAACAGTCTCTCTGTCTTTTTGAAGGGTTCAATGTTACAATGTCTGAAAAGTTAGCATGTCATTGCTACAAGCCACAGGAATTTTTGGAATGGTTTAAGATCAACTTGATAAAAGTACTAAAAAAACTGGTATTTTAAAAGTACTTATATTTTCAAGAAGCAGAGGCTCGCAAGGTGCTAGCAGTAGATGCTTAAAAATATGCGAATATTTAAGGGTCTCTGCTCTGACTCTTCGTGGTATGGACGGTGGTGTGTACGTGTGTTGAATCATTCTCTTGTCTTTGTATTATCTCATTCGTCTCATTTCCTCTTTTTCAGTAGTTAGTCTATATTTCCATACGAAGCAACAAGATAGAAACTGCTCGACCGCACAGCAAACTGGGTACGAACCCTAGCCTTAGGAATGCATCTTTGAGTGGAGCAATGAAAAACTATCAATTGTAGAATTGTCTACGGTTTTGGAAACATACAATGTTTCCTCCTGCAAATCGTGAGTAGACTCAAGCTTCTGATGAAGTGCTCACATAACACCCTTAGCTGGTCTCATAGAAAATGGCCCGCACGTATATATTCGTCTCGTAAAAAAATGGCCTGCGAATATCCAGCATGAAACATAAACAATGCAAAAACAGTCTGTCCGAGTCAATTATTTTCAACTTCACAATGTATTGAACGTTTATCAACTTCTCCAACTCCAGAGAATGGGCACTCGAAATTAGGCCATCTTGAAATGCCTTATAACGTTGCCGGGAGTACGGTCGCAGGTCCCGCAACGAAGCCAAGTACTGTAGTTTTTCGAAAAATTCCGGTCCTACACGTAGTGGCTTATGAGGAATGGAGCTTTCTGATAGCCAAAAACCATCATCCGAGTACGAGGAAGGGTCTGCTTGCACCGCACCCCTCTATTTGTGTTTGCGGTCCGTTATGTTTATGTTTATGTTTATTACGCTGCCAAAAAGGCAAACGTGAGAAAGCCAAATAGAAGTCACTTCAATACAGAGAAACTAACAGAAGTTCCAAGGCGAGATGAACGGTACATCAGTATCCAAGGAACAACTTCGCTCAGTATCCGAATAAAATTAAGAAGTGATAAGAAACTCAACAAGGCAGCTAATTAGAAATCTGACAACAAGGCGATAAGAAGTGTTCAATCAAAATTTGAGATAGGAGACATGATAAGCAAAAGTCAATCTCAATTAACTAGGATGTTTCTGACTAAGTAGCTGGGCAGCTGCAAGCTTCTTGAACTGTCGAAGAGAATTGGAAATGGCCATATTCTTTGTAACTTTTTTGTATGTACTTGCTGCTCTAAATGGAAGCTTGTGGCTCTGACCCTGAAAACCAGGGTCAGAGCCACAAGCTTCCATTTAGACTGCTACACAAGCTGCTTAAAGTACAGGACTCACGAACCAGAGGGGGCGAGCTAAGAGAATTTTAGCTCGCCCCCTCTGGTTCGTGAGTCCTGTAC